ACTCCTGAAAATACTAGCCTAGCTACTTAACCTCAACAGCACTCCTGTACAATAGGTAACATCATCCACAAATAATCAATGGGGAAACAAAGGCAGAAATCCTAATCCTGCAGGCCTGCCTGCAGTAAAAGTAAATGGATACTCACTGAAGCAACACAGCAAAAATGTGTATATCCAAACTGTAACACAAGAAGTTCCCATCTCAATTCTAGAAAAACTAAGCAAGAATGCCAATGCTGATTTCTATGCCATTCCACTTTCTATTAAAAAGGACATCAAAGTTTTAATGGCTTTCAACAGCAGAGGACAAAGCCTTAGGATTAACTTCCCATGACTGCACCACATAGAATGAAGTGTAACAGGGAAAAATTAAAACTGTACCTTGACATTTTTGATGTCTATGCTAGATCCAGCCTCTAAGAGCAAATCTACAGCATCAACATTTCCTGCTATAACTGCCCAATGCAGTGCAGTATTCCTCTGGACTTTGTCTACAGCATTGAGAGAAGGATTAAACTTTAGAAGAAATCTCGTAGGTTCTGGTCTAGGAGAAAAACAAACACAAGTTACAAATCAATTGGGGGGGAAAAAAAAGGGAAGATATATTTTTTTCCCAAAAAAATCTTTAAAAAACTGAACAACACAACAGCATCATTGTGTTTCCATCATCATTTTATAGATGGGTAGAGAAAGACAGCCTGGTGAGGCTGCTCAACAGTACATACTCTGTCAGCAGCAGAGCACAGATTTTAGTTTAGAACTGCTCAGTGCTTATTTCTCTATATTGTGCTGCCTCACTGTTGGTAACCTAATGAGTTATGAGTGTAGTTTATAACTGTACCTTATGGACTGTGCAGTAAGGTTCTGGTTTTTCTTTTCTCTACCCCTGTGTTACTTACTGGGGTTCATGCAGATGGCTTAAAGCTGCTATTAGTATCTGAAAACCAGCTGGCTGCAGCATCAATGCACTCGCACCGATACTTAGTACTTTCCCTACAGAAGGGAACTGGTTCCTTCCTTGTTTACTACAACCAACCTCACTCATTAATCTGTGAAATTTGGCATCTGCAGATGTACTAAAACTGGCACATTTACTTGTTATTTTAAAGATGCATTTTCATGAAAATTAGCCCCAAGCCTTACATAGATGCAGACAGGCTAATAATTATTTTAGTAATACCTGACACGTACCCAATTATTTTGAATGCTGATAGCATAAGAGGGGTCTGTCCGTTGACATCTGTTGAATCTACACTCTAGGCATGAAAAGATATATTCCGATTACTCAAGGGTTCAGGAAATAAAGATATCCTGTCAGATTCTCGGATGGTGGAAATAACCCTAAGAGAGTTAGAAGTGAGATCATTTACATGAGCTGAGAATCTACCACTCTGGTTAGCAGGAATCTCTTTGCTCTTTCCTAGTTCCTTTTAGCATATGCCAATAGATTCCAACAGGGATAATTTAAGACAAGGGTGTCCAACTGATGGTCCATAAGATGCGTGTGGCATGTGAGGAGTTAATATCTTACCCAGTCATGGCTCCCTCCTTCACTTCAGTTGCAATGGCAGTCTGAGTGCTGGGGCTCTGCCCTCCTCCCATTGCTGCTATATTTCTGCCTTTGCCCCAGGAGGTGAAGCACTACAGCAGCATGAGGACCTGAGGGTCAGTAAGGGGTGACACTGGGGTGGGGCTGTGCACTGCAGCAGGGGGGTGCAGAGTGGGGTGGAGGAGGGATGGTGCTTGCAGCTATGGGAGAGAGCCTGGGGAGTGTTTATATGGCACACCTGGTACCACCTGTGCAGCCCCTGGGGATGTGGCCCCACAGAACTTAGAACTTGGACAGCCCTGATTTAAAAGAAGAGTCTTGATTTAGCCCTTTAGTCTTTCCAGATACTGCTGTTAATTAGAAACAGTGTTGCTTCTTCCTCTACATATACAGGTGGGCCAACTAAAACTTCTAGTTCCTACTACATGTGATTTTTATTTCACATTTTATTTCACATATGTAAATACATTACAACACAGACTGAGACCAAGGGAAATTTTTATCTCAATGAACTAAATGGGAAAAGCTTTATACTTATGTTTTTGACATACACTATCTACAGCTATACTCTAGAGGTAATAATTATTATTCTATTACAATGGGCTCTCGGATAGTGTGAATATATTCATCAGATTTTAAAATCTTAAAACAAAGCATTTTTTGAGAAAACAAAGACCCTGATGCTGCAAGCTGTCACCTACATGCATGCTTTTATTCAAATAATATTATTAAGGGTGAGTCAAAGTAACAACATACTTTCAGGTCTACAATCTAAGTTTTCCAGGCAGTCAAGGTATCACTGCTAAGCTCATTGGTATACACTGTATTTATTTGACTCTAATATGAGGTTTGCCTCCTCCATTGTTTAACATGGGTGAAAAGGGGTGGAGAAAGCCCCTCTTCTTAAAATTGAGTATGAGAGCGGGGAAGGGCACATCGCTGCTGTGGCTTGGGCTCTAGCCCCTACCTGGGGTTGGAGCTGAAGCCACAGTCACTGCCTGCACTCCTATCCCCACCCCACCACTCTGCACCCCACCATCTCCCCCCTGCAGCCTTTGCTCCCTTGCCTGCCCCTCTCTTTCCCCTTCACCTGTACTGTGTGCTGGCAGGCTCCAGTCACGCTGCATCCTGGGGCACTGAGTACAGCCCCATCCCAGCCCTGTAGTAGTAGCACACAGCCTGCATGATTGCTATGGGGGCTGGGCTGGAGGCCTGAAGCTAAAACATGGATGGATCCTCCTGGCCTGGAGCAAGGTTGTGGGGGAGGGAGGGAGCAGAGCCTGGGGAGGAAGGGGCAGGAGCAGAAGCAAAGGGGGAAGGGTGGGCCCAAGGCTGCAGAGGGGGCAGAGGTGGTAGGGGGGGAAAGCATATGTAAGGGGCAAACTTGACCTTCTCACACCCCATACTTTTGCCCCCTGCCTAGGGTTAGAGGGTAAATTAAAGACAACTCCCCAATAATTAGACTTTACACTTGGAAACTTGTAACAAATTTTATACATTTTCCACGTATAGAATCTAATTATTGGGGGGGTTGTCTTAAATTCAGGGTTGTCTTAGATTTGAGTAAATACAGTAGTTATCCAAAAAGAATTCTACTTGGCACATATTCTACAGTCTTGCTGTTGTGCTTAAATTGAGCATGCCACAGATACCAGAGGCATAATGACTGAATATGTGGCTTTGGAAAATACTGATAGAGGCTCAGTTGAACCATGTTTAACAGAGGTATCAAACTCATTTAGGCTCATGAGACAGA